CTAATGTAATAAAACAGAATCGTGGATCTTAGCCATCGAGATGTTACTCTCGTTGCGCGCTCGATAACAACGACCTATTCACTTTCGCTGAATCGATTCTTATCGCAAAAAGTAGCCGAGCAGGCCCGGCTTCCTTTGCCAGGTTCCTGTTCTTATAAGACAAAGCTGCCTATTAGTAAAGCACGTAGTTCCAAGTAAACTGTACAAAAGAACGGCCTTCCTTGTTTGGTTGGGTAATATTTCATTCAATGAGAACGATGTGATTGAACCCAGTTTGTATCCTTGAAAACTGGTTATTATTAAATAAATATATACTTTGTAGTAGATTGCTCATTGCGAAATTATAAGAATGCCATTTTACATAATAGAATATAGTTACTAAGCAGATTATATATGTATATTATTCGTGGTTAGAAACTACAACCGCCAATCATATCTGAAGACGCTGATAAATTCCGAAAGCATGCTTAGAATAACATGAATCCTGATTCCTAAAATTCCCTGTAAGTTTCCTTATTTCAAATCAAATTTGTATGTAAGTGCATTGCTATCAAAAGTCTTGTAAAATCTTATAACTAGATGTGTCATCATATATTAAGCCAAATAGTGCAATTTATAAAATATTTGCGATTAATTAATTCCAAAATATAAATTTCTAAACAAGTCTCTTAAATAAACCTAGAACCTGGAATAAAAAACTATATGAATTCAAAACAAGAGTAAGTATAAAGCTATTAAAACAATACGAGGATTAATTAAAATGCCATCCGTCCATTAGTAGGTGCAAAGCAAGACATAAAAACGGATAAATACAACATACTCACTAATTTAAAAACATTGACTGTACTTTTTCTACCTTATATAAATGAAAATGAGACATACATTTGTCCATACTTGTAATATTATTTATTAATTTTAAATTGTTAGCGACAATTTTGTTGAAAGCCGAAGTGATCTGATAGTTTAATTCAATTAACAGAACACAACTGCAAACAAGATCAAGTTATCACAATATTAAACAACTGGTATTAATAAATATTACACTGTCAGCGATAGACCGGATTTCTCACGAATGGACGGAACATTGATCACTCTGACGGACGGCTGCGGTCACTGTGTTTATCGTAACTCACATGCACTGGTACCGTCAACTACAAAAATCGACAGACTCAATTGTCCATATTTTTTTATAAATCTTAAATCATTCCTGACAATTTACAAGAAGTAACAACAATACGGTATGATGTTAAAGATGGCAGAGTTAATATACAGTTCTACTTACATGCGCTAGTACAGTCAGCTAGAAAATTTTGTATTTTATTCTACATAAAAAAAAATTACTTCAAGGGTGACTAAATTAGTATTTTCTAACGCAATAGCGATATCGACGAAGTTTCTACCCATATAATTAAAGTGGCGCGGAAAAAAAGCAATTGATTTCAAAAATAACCATCAAAATATAGATATAATCTATTTTTTATTTTGGTAAATTAACATAACCCGGTCTCATGCGGACGAAGTCGCAAGTAAAAACTCGGTTGAAACATCTATAATTTTAAAATATTAAATGCCAGCAATCAACACAATCTTAAAAAAAAATCTATTTGTATATACTATTTCACCACATTGTTCCACCTCTGGAATTGTGTAAGGTAAAATTTAACTAATCTAAAACCCTAAACTCCTCACGCATTATGTGAAATAATTTGAAATATATATTATAAATATTTTAAATATGTCGTTAAAAATATAAGCCCGCTCTAAATCCTGATCCCAGACCTGAATCCTGAAGATATCTTACAGATGCTGTTATTGATGAATCAAGTATATATCTTACATACTATGGACGGTACTCTAAGAAAAATGTATTGAGACATCAATTTTGATAAAACAAAAACTACGTAACCAAAATGTGTTCGTTTTTTACCGATCATACAATAACAACATACCACAACGTCTTTGAATCTTATTGCATTCCAATAAAGAATGAAAACTGGTGAAAATTATAAGCCACTTTTATTATCGATTGTACCGTTCTTTGCGGTTTGTTTAGCAGGCTTGCGCAGGCGCATCAACAACGGCAAACAAGATAACAGGGCCTTAAATCACCGTTTGTAATACCCCATAAACACTCTGGTCAGGAACAATTGCCAATATATATATACACATACCTTGCATTCCTGGTATTATTATGATAATAAACAGCCATACAAACCCACCAACCTAATCCTCAAGCTAAGACCAAGCAACGAATATGTGGGAGCATGTCTCAGAACACCGAGATCCGAGCAAATTTAGAAAAGTTCGTTTCCTAAATTTGCTCGGATTGGCCCGGCCAGAAATCGAACCCGGAATATCATTTATGCAAATTAATTAACAGTAAGCAATATTACATTATTAACGTTATTTATCTAAATTAATTAGCGACGATATCAAAAACAAAAAAGGCAATATATGAAAAATTTTGCCATTTCATAAAGTAAAAATTGTTAATATAAAATCTATTATAACAAAAAAATATATAATATTATATATTTGTCATGATATTCGATATATATGAAGACTAAAATGTTTTACTTCAAATATATTTCACACAAGACAATAAAAAATATCTTAATAAACACCATCTTTTATCGAAAAATAATGTAAGATTGTGTTCCACAGAAGAAAAACTATTTCAAATGTAGCAAAACCATTATTTTGATTTAAAAATTAAACCACTGAACCAATTTTGATGAAATTTCTATTTATCTTTTTTTTTTATCTGAAAAGACACACTGTATGTAAAAAAAGATTTTCCAAATCGATTTATAACTGATGGAATTATAAGATAACAAACTTAAAAGAATACAACCGAACTGAGAACCTTCTTTTTGAAGTCTATTAAAAAAAAAAACTGTTCTATTACATACAGTTATAAAAAAAAGAACTTAAACCAACTACACACGTACATGTGTTAACAAATACGTGTGCAGACAGCATGGAAGAACAAATATTATGTACCTATACCTGTGTGTTTGGGTAAAGATTCAATTTCAAAACGGAATCAAATGTTTTAAAAACACATACGTTTACGTAACTGCATAATTTTCACGCTTTGCTAACCTCATTCATATAAATATATAAAAATATTTATTCACACAGTTACATTAAAGAGGTATTAATTAATACTAAGGAAAAGGGAACTTTCTTTTTTTAAAAGGAATACAAGAAAAAGCATCTAACTGATGAAGTTAATCAATTTTTTACGCGAAGGAACACGCCGTCCCACATAGGTGACACCGATGTGCTTCTTCCGCCTCGATGTTCAATAAACATCAGCACAGAGTAATGTCCGTACATAAACATGCTTTCCCATAAATACCTATCGAGTTGAGAGCAACAGTTACGATATTTGTTCGCTACATATGTACTTAGTTCTGCGAAACAACTAATAACTGTAAGGATTTGATTTGAGATACCATGGTTTATTGCTCGAAAATTGGTGTCACACGCGCTTTATATGGGACGTAAATATCGTAATTTTATCTTTCTCCAGTTATTAAATGTCTAATCTACTTCTACAAATACTTAGCAAGGAGATATCACAATATTTTTATGGTACAATAAATTTTGAAGATTATTCACGATGTCTTGGTCGGCATAGATAAGGCCACCCCTTTCTTTCCCGTGGGTGTCGTAAGAGGCGACTAAGGAACGCCGAGGGATGGGCAGCAGCGTCTCTCTTAAAACACCTCTAAAGCCTAACTGCAGCTGCCAATCCGCCTGCCAAACGTGGTAACTACTGAAAAAATCCCCCAAGGAGGAGGCTTATGTCAACAGTGAAAGGTTAAGGACTGCTATGATAATAATGAATCACGTTGTCTTTTCATTCGTAGCTTTCTTAGTTACTGAAGAACATTTTACATAATCTCCTCCATTCATTCAGCATTCTTTTTTGCATTATCGTGTTCCTCATATCAAGACTACCTTTATTACTAAATATTTAATATATATTATTAAATATTTATATATAGTATACCACTAACATTACTGGTCATAGGACTAGAAGAAGACTTCGTACAAATTCATCTGCATGAATACTGCCTATCTCAATCGTGTTCCATCAAGCATCTGTGTTCATACTCTATTCTTGGAGTTACGCCAAGCGAGCTTACTTATGTAAATCTTTATAACCAGCTCCCTATGGATTTTTACTAATTTTGTTAGCTAATTCGTTAAATTATTTTGGCTTCAGTTTTAAGTAATTATCTTTTCCAATAACTTCAAGAGTAGCTCTATTTATCAACCAAACATGATCTTTGTTCTTCCTTACAAAGATTTCCTGTAATTATAGTGAATCTTATAGCTTATTATTTAACGGAACAAATTGATAATTGTACAGTGACATATTACTCACGACTCAGTATTCACTACAATTTACATATCAGCAGCTCATTTTTAAAATGATATTAAAATTTTTAATCAGCGCTGTCATCAGGCATACTAAGTTAATTGTTAAGAATATATACGGGTACAAAAAACCACTTAAAATATTTAATAAAACACGTGTAGCAGTTTAAGCACATATAAATGAAGTAATCTGGATTATTTAATTTAAAAACCAGCTTATATTTTTGATCAAGTTATATAACCTTTTTTAATATGTTGCAGAAAAAAATAAAACGATATTTATAAATCATTTCGACTGATTAATTTGAATTTAACTAATTTGACTAATACTTAAGCTACGTGACTATTCTAATTTAAGTTACGACCAGGTCAGTACACTCACTTGCAAGTTTACTTGAGGTTAATGCATGTTGTTTTTTTTTTTGCAAGTTTATAATCGCTGGTTCCAGTTTTTGCATCATATGAAACGTTTGCATATTCCTCGCCTCAAATTAACATTTCTTACATGGAAATCGTGTTGTTTTTTCATTTTAGATATCTAAAGGGAGTTTAGAAGTAAAAGTTATATTTCTAATAATCCAAACAATTAATTATAACAAGACACATACCTTTGTTTCTGATGCGACTTCTTCTCTCGTTATATCATCTGTAACAAAAAATAAAAATATATCTTTGAATGAAGTTGAAAATATATAAAACATTAGGTTAATACTAAATTATTTTAAGAAATATTGTTAATCTTAATTCGTAATTATAAAATTTTAAATTTAAAAGAACAAATATAGCAATTAAAATTCTTATAGTTATTAAAAGAAATGTATCCAATAAAAATAAAAACTTGAACTTGATGCTTTGTTACTCCAACAGATTTAGATAAAAGGTTATTGCATATACTTATTATGATTGCGGGAAAATTATGCAGCGACGGATGAAGATCCAAACAATTTCAAAGTTGATACGACCGTAACGTCAAGCACGCTGTGTACACGTTCTAAAAACTTGAGAAAAATTCACTGAAATAATGCGTACAGCGCTCCAATAACCGGGGACATTATTCTCTATGCCCGATCTAACTACCGCGAATTAGCCGCTAATGCTGATATGTAATTGATCTTGCTGTTGAGGGAACTCCTTGTTCCAAATCGTTCAATGGACTGTAGAAAGCTCTCAAACTTACAATATCAACAAAAGAATCAGTGACCAATGTCTATAGTTCAAATAAATAAGATAAAATGACAGTAAGTATCCAAGTCACTCTAACTCGAGACAAAACTCGAAGCACAAATAATCCATGGGAACGAAAACTTCTTGAATATCGACCTCATACACGGTCATAATATAAAATAAATTCTCTTCAAGGTGATCAACTATGAATCTTTAATACTTAACTGACTTTCATATACCTATCAAGATTTCCTAAAACGGCCGCACCAAACGGATTACAGTTTAGTTAAATTTACAATTACAAATCATCGGTCAGTTATTTAAATTATTTTCGCAAGCGTTCACGCCGAATACTGCACCTAAAGTGATTGACCTCTCGCTTTTACGATATGTAGTCACGCGTAATGGACATTTGCCATTGAAATATACATAAACACTTCGCCTACTTTTTTTAAATAATTGATGTAAAATATGAAAATAAGCACAGATCTTTAATATTCAATTTTTGCACGGATAATACATGTGAGTAGCAAACCGTTCTTTTTTTATTTTCCTTTACTTCTTTGTATAAAATTTATCTCTATCTTTATTTGTTTCATTTTCTTCTTTCAACGCTGGCTTTAAAAAGTCGAAAAGTTACAACTACATTAACTATTTAAATTTTTAAATAATCATTATTTATTTCCCTACTACCTTATTAATTATACAGTTTAATTATATAATTATTATCAAAAGCTAGAAACATTATCAGAGATTATGTTGCAGTTTTATCTCTATATAAATACTGATAAATTGCAGTAGTAACAGAGACGAGTTTTATGTTGTACACTTCACAGTTTTATATACACTAATAAAATACTATACTTATAATATGATATGACAAGTTTGTAAAGACATTTAGATCTTTTTTTTACCAAATAAAAACTTAAATAAGTGAACGGATTTGAATGAAATTTTGTACATCTTAGATTCGTTTTTATTCCGATTCACGCTAGCATGGTCACCGCGTACAATGTATTACATACATAAACATAAATTTAAAAAGAAATTAAAATTTAAATGCTGTGATATAAAAACTTAATAATGATAAATGATAATTGGTTAATTTCTTTATATTCAAAAATAACCTTTCTTTACATAATAACCAAACGATCAGAAACATTTATCTTATATAATAAGCAAGCAAAAACTAACAAGATATTATTAAAAAGGCGTATTTACCGCACAGGATAACAAATTACTTAAATGATGATGATGATGATGATATTAAATAAGAACAAAACACATTAGTAACAGTGGCAGATTTAACTAGGAAGACATAACCATTTGCTCAAATACAAAGATTTATTTAGTGACTCGTGCGCATTTGCTTAGTGCATTCACCCTTGCAGGCTTCGCGCGTGACAAACCCATCCTGCCATAACATTATAACATACATTGCCGTTTCACATAAACAACCGCTTATATAGCAATGGTCAGCCTTAAAGTAAGGACGGAAGATACAAAATCCAATGGGTCACTGAAAAAAAACAAACTAATGTGAAGGTACAAATTCGTAGCGAAGACCCTCCTTCGACCAAATAGAGACTCGTTCCACAATCTGATTTTCTTGATTGTGCAAAAAAAAATAACTAAGTATATGCTTATAACGTTTTATGAAAGGTACATTACTGTATCATCAATTTGAAGTTCAACGGCTTGTTTCCGTAATTATGGGATAATCTGGTGTGCTCGCCGCACGTCGCGATGCTTAATTTAAATAGTCCAATTTAGTTTACCAGGCAACATCACATCAACAATGTTACGTGCCTGGCTGATTCTGTTACTTTGTTGTTTTTTAAATATGCCTCTAGAATTCCAACATTGTGATATAAAGAAAAAATATATATTTTCAGACAATGATGAAAGATCTAAGTGTGAGACCGATTCTTCAATTTATTCGGTACTCCAAAATGTTATTATCTATCTCATCATACTTATACTTTAACATTTCTATTACTAAACGTTAATTAAAGTATTAATTTATATTGTGAATGAGAGATAATGTATTTTTGGATTTATTTGTGTAACATTAAATAAATAGTTTTATATATCGCACAAAAACAGTAAAAAAATGCATAAATTTATACGAGTATACATCGGAAAACATTTTTTCGCTTGGCAGGGTGAAAGAGAGTACCACCATCAAATTATATTAATCACATATATAAAGTTAGTGTTCTAGGATACATTAAAGTAACTGTTTACAGTCTGACGCTCTATATACTTGTTAACCACCTTTACGGTATAAAAAATATATATGTATTTAGTCATAATATAAACAATCTTGTGACACAAAAATAACATAACAAATATTATTAAACAAAAAAATTTTTTTATTACAACTCAAATTATTCACAAAGGTTGATCATATTATATTTTACCAAGACAGGCTATGACAAATAACAGAGCGGCATGCAAACGGCAAAAAGTGGAAATGGTTTCACGTAAACGCCTTACAGAGGCACGTAGGGCGTAATGACGTACGTAATCAATTTGTGATCAGACCACAATAATTTCGTTTTATATCTGATCATTTATGAAGAAATTAATAACATTAAAGAAGTTACAGGATGTTTTACGGGCTGTCACAGGATAATATATACTTAGCATTTATTCGTTCCTAAAGTAAGTGATTTTGCTCTGCAGACAAAATAAAACAACTACTTTAGGAAAATTTTAATGAATTGACACAAAAAATTAAGCATATAGATTGCTAAAAGAATTCAAATAAAATCGGCTTAATATTAACAAAAATATCACATACCATATACACAAAAGATGAAGAAGAATCGAGAAACGTCTCATTTTTAAAATCACTTAAAAAGTACTGGTATTTATATCAGAATCTGTACCAATACTTCTATCCCTCTCGTGTTTCTGACACGAAGTAGTAATGCTAGTATAGGTGTTTGAAGGGTAGGATATGACAGTGAAATACAAAGTACACAAACATGACAACTTAGTCGGTATGACAAAGCATTAGAGGTACCCTGAATATCAGAATATACTTATTCTCTAAAATCTATTATTAATCAACGTTACTCCCCGAAATTAAGGCTTATTGAAACAAGGATTTTTCAAAATTAAGAAAATAGGAAATAACAAATCCCTCACAAGTGAAGACGAGCTTATACACTAATTGAAATAAAAGATAGTCAATTATCCTGCAATAGTAATAAATCGTTGATAACACTTCATACTTCCTTAAGGTAATCCAACAACATTATATGCAAATCTCGATTGTCTTAGAACAATGTAAAAATAAATCTACGACGGCCATGATCTTTCCAACTTTGGACTTAAGCTGGACCTGACATCATTATGTTTCACAACGGCAAATAGGCTGCAGTTTATCTGTAACTCACTTATCACTTCAGCAAATTATTTGCTTAACCTACGTCTCATTCGGCCTACATCCATGACGCCATTGTTTATATCAACGCATTTTAAGTAGGTTTCGTAATTGTTTTTGCAATTTTGTTTTTAACTTCGTTTACAACAATTACAATTTTACGTCCTTGTGAGTATTCAGTTTCGGCAATAGATATCGTGTTATCTATTGAGTTTCCGGCAACAAAAACTAATATAAGTCTAACAAATATCAATGATAATTTTACATTAGATCCATTACAATCATCAGTGTCGTCGTCAAAAACTAACTCAATAACATCGTAAACGAAAATTATAGCAACGTATGATGGTATCATGATATATCGTCACAATATACTCTGTGATGCCCATGGTACTGTTAATGACCATAGGCAACAGTTACCACTATCCGTCAGGTAGACTCTCAGCCATACTGTTTACATTGAAGCACCAGAGTTACTATAAAAGTATCTACACGAATTTTCGAGTCCATGCTTACATGACAGTATTAGATTGAGTTAGATTCAATTTACAGGATAGCAGTAGCAGGTCAGTAGTAACCTGACTAAAGTTTGGAATCAGTCATCGATCCAGTATAAACCTTAGTAGTGATAAAATTCCATATTTCAATATAACCACCATATACATGGAATAAAAGTGGATTTAGACCATGCGAGAGAATCAAGAATAAGGATTACTACTTACTTGAGGATTATGCTACCCTTCCTTTTTCGGATAAGTATAAACGTGAAAAGATACCTAAGAGCATTATGTAACTTAACAGTATTTACGAAGAATTATGTAAGTTGTACCCTTACTTTATTAATATAAGACTCTAAAAAGGCTCTAACGCTATTATGCAGTGAGATTTGCTCCCATTTTGATTTCATATATACTTTGCCACAAATAAAGTCGTGAACAAAAACATTATATAATACCATCATATACCATCAATATCATCATCATTATGATCAGCCGTTAACTGTCCACTGCTGAGCATAGAACTCCTCATACTGGGAGGTTTTACCAGTAGTTTTGCCAGGCTTAGCAGGCGGGTTGGCACTCACAGTT